CTCCTTTCCCTGAATATTTTAGAATTATCTTGAATTACTGGTAAAATGTATGCTTGGCTACAAAGCTATTTGGCCAAAAAAGCGCTGAACGGTTTTCTCTAACAAACACAGAGAGCCAGCACAGATATAAAGGGTCCTGTTCAGTCTAACCATTCTGTGATCCCAAAGGTTTCACTGCAACAGTAGAAACAATAAAATACTTGATAGCTGAAAGGGTATAGATTCGGTTAGATTAATTTTTTTAAAGGACTAATTTGACATATAAATGATTATTTGTGCATATGCACGATCACATATGTGCATTAATGCATACGGACATTACAAGGGGGTTCATTTTATTTCACCAGAAAGTATGTGAAAACATGTTGACTGTTGGGATATTTGAGACTCAGGAGCCAAGCAGATTTTTCTGGGCAGATTTATTTATCTGGCAAATGCAAATTCCTCAAAGCTAAATGATAGCCTTCTGGTTTGCTAAACTTACAGTCATCACTCTGGTACTTAGTCTGCAGAAGAAGCACTTGCCTACCATATGCAACATTGTTTATCATTCTCCCCAAAAGCCTAAGGGGTTTGAGCTGTGACCCTCGTGATGAAGGATGGATCTATAGGTTCCTAGCTTGGCCCAAACGTGTTTAGCAAGGCCCAGTTTTGCCATGGTATTTCAAAGCCTGCATTCAACAGATAGGATTTGTCACAGGGATTTGTTAGTGACTTCTTCTTTTTCACAATCCATGCCCCAATGGATTTGTGTCAGTAAATTTTGTTCAAGAGGATTGCCCCAAATAGGTGTATTAAAGGGATGGTACACTTCATAAAAGTAGCAAAGTCAGCAAAAATACACTTTTTTAGGCAGAGCCTAAAGCTATCAACTTCGCAAACGTTGAGTCAATAAATTTGCAACTCAGTCCCTTGCATTCTAATTTTGTTCACTAATTTCTTGCAAGGAATCCTGTTGGAAAGTCTTTTGAAAATCCAAATGTGCCACATCCACTGGTTCCCCCTTGTCTATTCTGCTAGTTACACCCTCAAAAAGAACTTCCAACAGGCTTGTCAATCATAATTTCCCTTTCATAAATCATTACACCCTTCTCCCCCTTTTTGCAGTCTCCCGCTCGGATACATTGTAGAGCTGGAGGATCCCAGATTGAATCTATGGTTTGAGCTGCCTTCACTGATTTCAGTTGGGGCAGTAACTTGGTAGTTACCAAGTAGCTGTTACACCCCCCAGCCCCTAAAGTTCATGGTTGCCTGGTATTCACCATCAGTTTCACACAAAAAACAGGAATACAGAAACTAGAGCACTGCTAACAACCTTGCAAACGCACCCCGAACATCTCCGCTATTAGGACTGGATTTAGATGCAACATTATTTGGGGCTCAGTGGTTAGCACTGCTGCCTCACAGCACCAGGGACTCAGGTTCAATTCCGTTCTCAGGCAATTGTGTGGAGTTTGCACATTCTCCCTGTGTCTGCGTGGGCTTCCTCTGGGTGCTCCGGGTTCCTCCCACAGTCCAAAGATGTGCAGGTTTGGTGGATTGACCAAGCTAAATTGCCCCGTAGTGTCCAGGGAGGTGCAGGCTAGTCGCATTAGCCATGGGAAATGTAAGGTCATAAGGATGTGGCAGATCTGGGCAGGATGCTCTTCAGAGGGTCAGTGTGGACTCGATGGGCTGAATGACCTGCCCCCACACTGCAAGGATTTGGCGATTAAGCTGTCAGCTTGACCAAGAAGATCTGTACCAGTTTTTTTTTCCCAGTGTCCTAGTCAATATGTATCCCTTAGTCAACACGAATAAAACTCAATATTATACTGCTGTTTGTGGGATGCTGCTGTGAATTATGTATATTAGTCGTCATGTTTCTAACATTTGAAGAGTCAAGAAAACATCAGTTTGGGAAATTTTAAGATCATGAACTGTGGTACATAAATACATAGTTTTCCATTCTTGAATTGTTAAAGTGTTGAATAGGAGTCACGTGCCTACGCTTTAATATTCGTTCTAAGGAAACAAGAAACATATGTTAATGCATCAGCAAAGAGTCTTTCCCTTTGCTTTTGAATTTTGTGATCTTTAATTTACTCTCTCTTCTTTCTTACTTATCTCTGCTCTGCTGTACAGGACGTGGTTCAAAGTTATTGTTGTGGTGAATAAGTGTGTTATTGAAATCGTGCGTGTTTGAAAAATACATTTTTGTGTGCTGTTGTGAAAATAAATTGAAAGGAAAAAGCTACAAAACTGAGACAAAAACAAAATATACTGGAGATTCACTGCAGGTCAGTTCGCTTTTATGAAAATAATCTTTGCTTCAGAAGTGTTGAGTATATTAATTCCTTGGAATTAAGAAACCATTAACCCTGCCACTTTCACAGATCACAACACACATCCATTTGCCTTTGAAATCTTCAGTTCTTCTCTGGAAAATAAAGCTCTTTGATATTGATAGCAAAATGAAGTTAGGGAAATGCACAGTATATGTCACCATATTACCCTGCAGGGGGTCAGCCCAGTACAAAGCTGCCTGGAGCCTCAGAAATCTGTTAGGCTGACTCCTGCATTCTGTTTTGGCTGTCAGTTTTGTTGAGTTTCATGAATGGTTTCTCTGGGCAAGTCCTAGAGAGATCTCCTGCTGCATCTTAGTAAACTCACCTCATTGGATACCTACTATGCCCATGTGCTGCCCCCTCACCTGATTCTAGACTTTGAACAAGTGTTGGCAGTCGGCTATTGCTCCTTACCAGCTTCGTAATGGCAAAGTTGCTGCAGAGCTGGACTGCTCATGGTACATAGCTAGCGTGGCTGACACTCCCACGCACATACAAATGCATTCTTTCACCCTAGTCACTGTTTAACCAGAAAGACACACTGTTCACCTGTCCTTAGATACATCCCATCAAAACTCCCTCTGTGTCACTGCAGTCTGGCATCTTGTCATTGTCCAGTCAGGGAACATTTCCCACAGGCAGGCAGGCATTCAGACCATTCCAGAGATGAGTTTTTATTTACAGCCAGCAAAAGACAAATGAGCTGAATGAATAGAGGTGTAGATCTCCCCCACAATCCAAAGCAAATGCTGGCACGATGACCAATTGCCATTTTACATTCTATGATTGCTCACTGCATCCTGGAAGTGAGTCTCAGTCAGCTCCTGCTTGGATTGAAGTGCTTCATGAGGTCGCGATCTGTCATGGACATGGAGAGCTTTCTCCTCCCTACTGTCCTCTCCCTTGGAAGACTGCTCCCATTCTCCCAGGTCCTCACCATCCAGCACATCGCCTCGTTGCTTGTGCCAATTGAGCAGAGCACAGCATGCCAGGATGTTGGACTGGAGCACTCCCCCAGCCTTGTTTCAGCAGCCCTATACCTTTCTCCATCATGTTGCTCCTCAGTGCATGGGTGGCACTATGCCTGGCTCCACATCTTCAGCAGGTCAAGCAATGGTGTCATGAGCCACCATGACAATGGGCTGCCCTTGTTCCTCAGTACCAGCCTTGTAAGGCATGTGGACTGTCAGATGAACCAGGTACATGAGAATACTCCAGAATATAGGAGCCATGGCAGCTGCCAGGGTAGCAGGCACACACCTCTAGGAAGTGGTAACTTTATTGTTACCCACCCTGGAGCCAACCGTGGTGGTCACTGTCCTTAAACCATTCCCAATTAGCCAACCAGGCCTTACAATGCTGTTCCACATGACCCCCATAAACCTTGACTTTACCCTGTCACCATCCTTGTTCTCATTTCAGGCATGCCTCTATTTCCCTCCAGCTTCCACTGCCGCATCTCCTTTTAGCCATTTGTCCCTTTTTGCCCCTGCAAACCCCTACCCACACCCCTCACCAATCAACACACAGACCCCCATGGACTGTGACCTTTTTCTCAGACCAGTGACTGATTTCGACACACAGATTCGTCACATGACTGACCAGGCCCCTCCTGGCTGACAATACACCGCAATTCCTGTGACAGCTTGTGATGACCCTTCAGGATTGGCCACTGCTCATGGCTGAGGACTATGTGTGACCAGCCAGAGCAGATGACCAACTGTGATCAAGTCCCACGGACTCTTACTGTGACCAATAGTAGTGGTTCTCCTGCCAACAGCAACCGCACCCACCTTCTTTGGAATTTAGGACTATCCTCCACCAATTTTCCAACGTAGCCACTTAATTGAATAAACAAGCGTGTTAGCCCCGCAAGCAGCTGGCACATGCTGTCGCCTTATAGATTGATGCACCGCCTGGCAATATGCCACTCCCAACATCTCTCAGGACAGATCGCAAATGCCAAGCTGCTTGTCTATGCCTGACCACAAGAGCACCCACTATGACAGTATTGATAGCCTTTAAGCTGTAGCTGAAAGGCCAACACACCAGCAGGAATGGCTCAGTATGGCAGCGCATAGCAAGTCAAGGCAAGGGATGAATGCTGTGAGAATGCCTGATTGAGATAATTTGCGTGAACACAGACCGAGTGAGCGAGCAGCTCTGAGATACAGCAAGCATGTTGAAAAGAGAAATGTAAAAATACAAGGCAGGGAGGTGGAATGAAAGAAATGCGACTAGAGTCACTGGCATTGACACAGGTTTCTTTCTGTGTAGTTGTTGTTACCGTTCTACGATACTTAAAAATGAAAAGTGTACAGTGCCAAGGATCTTCTGATCTGCAGTGAATCTGTGGAACACATTGCAGCAGAAGGGTGTGGAGGCCAAGTCATTGAGTGTATTTAAGACAGAGCTAGATTGGTTCTTGATTAGTAATGGGATCAAGGGTTACAGGGAGAAAGCAGGAGAACGGGATTGAGAAACATATCAGCCATGATCGAATGGCAGGGCAGCCTGAATGGGCCAAATGGCCTAATTCCGCTCCTGTATGTTATGGTCTTTGACCTTTTTAGGAATTTGGACAACATCAATTATTAAGGGCAGAATAACCAAAATAGGAAAGTGAATAGTTTATCATTCGGCATCAATTTTAATTCTTAATGTACTCAACAGGCATCCTGAGATTGAAGAAGCAAATCTGGTGGACCTGCAAGAGGAGTGAACTATCTGGTTGGGAAAACATACCCAACTGCAGGGCAAGCAAGACTGCTCCACAGCATCTTCCAGTCAGGTAGGCCCCCTGGATTTAATTCTCCGGAAATTCTGCACAGGAATAAATGTTATATATTGCATCCCGCCAAATAATGAAACATCTGCACGGGTTTGTATGAAAACCTTTGATTGTTGTCAGCAAAAAGCAGACGAAAGATCGAAAATGCTGAAGGGCTGCAAGTGGCAGAGATGGTCAGTATCCGTGGAAGGAGCAGACAAGTTAACATTTCAGGTGGAGGCAAAGTTAGAAATGCCATCAGCTAGTCAATGATGTTGTTAGGCAACTCGATTTCTGGACCAGTAACTCCTTGTAGGTACTGCCTGAAGAATGGTTTGCATCTGCTTCGAGGTTTTTAGTTGATTGAGGGCAAAGTTTCCAGGTTACATGCTGAATTTTCTTGAAAACTAAGCTTTCCCATTTTCTTCCAAGGCAGTCCTGACTAAGAGTTGAAGGCATTGTATAATCATTGACATTCACAGCATAGAGGGTGGCCATTCAGCCAGTCACATCCATGTGCGCTCTTTTCACTCAGCTCCCACAGCCACCTCCAATTCTGTTATTCTAAAATGTCCTGCCATTTCAGTGACAAGGTCCCACCATAATTACAGCACAAATGGAGGCCATTTTGCCTGTTGAGTCCTTGACAGCTCTCTGCAATGAGGAATTCAGTTCATCCCACACCCCAATCTTTTCCCCAAAGCCATGCACTGTTTTTCCTCTGTTCAGGTCTCTACCCAATTCCCTTTTGAAAGCCATATTCCACTCTGCCTCCACCACACTGTCAGCTAGTGCATTCCACATGATCAAAATTCACTGCCTAAATAAGTTATCATCACTGTAGTATAAGATGATGAGCTGCAAATGCTGGAAAACTGAAACAAAAGCAGAAATTGCTGGAGAAACTTGGCAGGTCCGGCAGTTTCTATGGCGAGAAAACAGAGTTGATGTTTCGAGTCCCGTCTGACTCTTCAAAGCTGATAGTAGCCCAGAATCTGATGGTATTTATGCTGATGAGGAAGGTGGGTGGGGGAAGGAGTGAGCAGATAGATGGAGACAAAGAGAGAAAGAAAGTTAGGCAGATAAAGGGAAGCTTGATAATCAGCCAGGGAAAAGGAAAAGCTGACAGTTGGGACAATAAGTCAGTGAAAGCAGCCCATGGGATGATAGGGCCAGGGATGCAGAGGTGGAGAAAGGACATGGGAGAAGATGTTCAGGCCCTAAAATGTTTGAAGTTAGTATTGAGTCCTGAAGGCTGCAGGCTCCCCAAGCAGAAAATGAAGTGCTGATCTACCAGCTTGTGCTGAGCTTTGGTGGAACACTGCAGCAAGCCTGAGACAGAGAAGTTGGCCAGGGAACATGGTGGTGTGTTGAAATGCCAAGCATGTTGCCTTGCGCTCTTTTGACATTCACTTCTGAGTCTGTGGCCCCTGGTTCTCAGTTCGTCTGCCCACGGGAACAGTTTCTCCTTACCTACACTGTCCAAACCCCTCTTGACTTCGCTTTTACCTTGCTCGATAAAAATCTTTCATTTCTGCCCATTGTGCCCAGTGCTAGAAAGCAGACAGAGTGCAGTGTAAAATCTGTCAGTTCAGCTTTGGAGGAAGCAGTTAACATATAAAGGTATGCTGATTAATGGACTTGTCATTGAGCTGGCCAGTGTGCTGCAGTGATGGTGAAATGGCTGAACCAGACACATTTTTGATCTGGTTGCTCTCGTCCTGTTCCACAAAGGGCTGTCTGTATGGTTGTAATTAAAAACAAGCACTGTGATTAATTTTGGGGGTTTCAGTTTATTAACTTGGTAACAGACATACACTGGTTCAATAGTGTGATTAGAGTGAACTGAGCTGCATTCATTGTATTGTTAACGGTGCAAGAAATTCAATGCATCTTTAACTAGAACCCCTTTTCAATTCTGATGATCCAGCCTTGTTCATTTACTCTTGTATTGCTGGTGATGATGATTAGTGAATTGCAGTTCCACATGCCGCAAGCAAGTGACCATTCTTTGAGTGAACCTAGCTTCTAAGTATTGTCAGACTGTCTGTAAATGGACGGCATTATATCCTCGTTGGTCTGTCCTTACCTTGAGTCATCATATAGAGTGCAGTTACAGAATGGTTATAACACAGAAGGTGGCATCAAGTCAGTGCTTCTCACTGCAAGAGCAACTCACTTGGACCCATCTCTCCAGGCTTTCCCAGTGGCCCTGCATGTTTTTCTCTCCAGATGGTTATCCAATTCCCTTTTGAAAGCCACAATTGAATTGGTCACAACCACACTGTCAGCCAAAGCATACTAGAAATGAAAGCAGAAAGTGCAAGATAAAGCTCAGCGGGTCTGGCAGCATCTGTGGAGAGAGAAAGGGAGTTAATGTTTCATGTCCAGTGATTCTTCTCCAGTGTTGAAGAAAAATCATATTAAATTCAAAATGTTAATTCTGTTCCACTTACCACAGAAGCTGCCAGACATGTTGAGTTTCTCCAGCACTTTGTGTTAATTTGGACTTCTGGCATCCTCAGTATCTGGCTTTTATTTGAGTGCATTCCAGATCCTAATCATTCACTGCACAAAAGCATTTTCCCTTATGTCATTTTTCACAAATCACTTGTAAGTTGGTGTCGTCCTGTTCTTGAACCTTCTGCCAATGGGAGTGTAACTCTCTACTTACACTGTCCACAACCTCGTGGCTTTGTACACCTCGATCAAATTCTTTCACTATCTCCTTCACAGAGAACGGCTCCAGATTGTCCAATTTATCGATATAACTGAAGGCTCCCATCTCTGGAGACATTCTTGTGGATCTTTGTTCTAAAGTATCGTGCACAGAACAGCATGTGTGCTTTCCTCCAGTCAGAATCACTGCAGAGTTCAAAAGCAGGGATGTGAATTGCTGTTTTGATTTGTTCATACTAATCGAGGGGTAGTGAAGGGTTTGTGTCACCTCAGAACTTATATTAGCTGCGAACAGCAGCACCGAACAGAGATTGATCTCGATAACTAGATAGTCTCTATGCCTCAGTAATATGCTGACCAGCACATTTATGTTCCTAGGCATTGGAAGAGCTCTGTTTGATGGTTTAATGTACCTGATCATTTGTTTGAACAATTGATAGCAGATTTGGTTGTGTGCTAGAGTGACGATTGCTTTATTAAAAACACTACAGGATGTGGTGCTGGTTTTTTTTGTGGAGGTGTTTTTTATGTGGAAACCAGTGTGTCCAGGCACATTGTCCAAAAAAACACTGACGAGGCAGCTGTTACCAGCAAGGTGTCAAATGGCTCATTGGAAATGCAACATCCGAAGCCTCAGTTTGACATTCTGCTTCCCCACAATCTGATGAAGTGCACATTGTTGCTGGGCCTCTCCCTATGATTCACCAAAACAGTTACAATACACACCCAGAACACAGTGCCTCTGGTTGACCCTTTAAAGATCACACAGGATTTGCAGCAGTGACGGCCAGGGAATCCCCCCATGGTTGTTCTTGGAGGTGGGCACGTCTTCCACTCCAGCGAAGCCAGAGGGGGAATGTTGGAGTTTGGGAGGTTTGCTAAGGTAAAAGGGCTCCTCTAGTCTCCTGTGAGAGTGACAATGTGAGTGGCACCACATTTCCCAGCCCAGCCAATTGAAGATTCGTTATGTTGAAGTGTAGAGTCTGAAAATAATTATCGCTGTCAATATATTAAAGAAAACAATGTGTGCATTAATTCTGAGCAGTTGTGATTCAACATTTCACGATGGTCTGAGAAGCTTTTCCTAAATATAGACTCTGAGGATTAATTTCAAATAGTCCTTGGCTTTAATTAAAAATCAGATAATGAGTCACAATACCTCTCGATCCTGTACAAATACCAAGCTACCTTTGTTAATAAAGCAATTATGGTAGCACATTTTTTTTTGGATGACATCATGCATAATTTTGTTATTAATCAACACCATCTGCTTCTTGCTATTGCAAACACTTCATTCTCTCAGTCTTGGCCGGGCAAAGTCTTTCCACCCGCAAATATTAAAGGTCTACACTCTTGTACTGAGAAATCAACATTAAAAATTTAGCAGCAATTAAAGAATGATTGCATCATTTAAGTGGTATGTATGTGCTAAACCTAGCATTCTAATCTCAAGAGTGCATACTTTCAGTTTTAATAATTAGATGATAATGAGGGGAAATAAAAGGCAGCCATCAGCAAAGGATCCAGGTTGGGGACTAGAGCGCAGCATCAAGTTGTGTGTGTGTTGCATATTACACATGTACGTTTAGATGAGAGAAGAAGCTTGATCAGTAAGATTTTATTAATAAGAACCTGTCTCTTTTGTTCATTGTCTGTGAGTGTGTGTGAGAGAGCAAGAAGGAATACTGTGTCAGGGAGTATCACTTACTCTGCATAAAAATAAAGCTTTGCATTGATCTTATTTGGTAATAGCTCATCCTGTATTGATGTTTTGAGAAAAAAGCTATTAACTTGTGTCTTGTCTTCTTCAGTTGCTGTTTCCCAGAGGTGCTGATTCATACTGGGCGATAGAGCTGCAGGAAACTTACCCCTTCTACCCTCTCTATCTGCCTGAAACATGTTTTAGTTAAGTGACCATTTCTCACGCGTTTGTAAAACCACACATCAGCCCCGGTTACTGTGCACAGCTAGTCAATCACGCTGTACAACGTTGTAAACAATGGTCTCCTCACACAGTTAACTGAATGCATTTTTCAGCAGGAGGCATTTGATAGTTTTTAAGAGTGGCACCTCTGGCATTTTAAACTACACTGAGGCCATAACAGCCAACTGCAGTGCTTGTACCGTTACTCCAATGAGATCAGTCAAGCCAGTTCAATTGAGCCCATTCACCTATAATTAATGGTGCATTGATATTTAGCAAAAAGGCACAAAACTTATCCATTGAATTCTTGATAGCTGCAACAATTCCTTTGTAATAACCAGATATAGAGTGCCACAACAGCAATGACTTGTATGCATTTAGTGTCTTTAAAAAGTAAAAGAAAAATTCCCAGGATACT